CCATCTATTACCTTTTGACTAACCAGTGTAATAACGGAGGAGATTTTTAATCAAAGAATTATCATTACAATAATTCGATATGGAACTCAGATCACGTATCATTCATTTATATACATATATTTCCTTTTCACTTCTCCAAAGCCACCAAGTTTTTCTTCAGTTTAGTTACATTTTCCATCGAGTTACCAGGGAATTACTTTTGCCTTGATCTTTCCTCTGCTCTGGGAAAGCGTTGCATAGCTTCCTAAGGCCTACTCTAATTCCAACTAAAACACTAGCAAGCCCTGCCAAAGATTGATTCCCTATGAGATGGGGTATAAACAAACTGAAATTGCAGTTAAGATTAAAACAAAAGATATGCATTTCAGCTAATTCCTGAGATAATTACTCGGTTTAAAGTGCTACCAAAGGAATCCTCCTGGGCCTGTATTAGACCGCTTCTTTGCTGTGGTGACAGTGTACACTGAGGACGGCTCAGTCTTCTTTCCTTTCCTTTCTTGCCTGGCTACTGCTACTCGTATATCGTAATATATATTATAATTAATGATACAAATTGTCAGTAGATATTTTCCAGATCATTAGCTAGGTTCAAATTTTGAGATAAAGGCACTTCTTTGTTTTGTTCCTCACACAGTGTAAGAATTGGGGGATTTTAATTTACTACAATGCCATCCTTAGTCAACATACTCATTTTTCTTTGAAAAATCTGGCATCCCAAGAACATCCAAATGCACCAAGTAGAAATTTAATCCTACTTCCAGTGCTAGTAGAATGAGTTACAGTCCTCCTTCTTTCTCATTATGTCCAATAATGAAGGACTGAAGAATTTGGCATTTGCTTGAACATTCAGAGCTTCTAAGAAATGTAAAAAAACTCTCTAGGGCCTCCCAACATTCAGGCATGCTGCCCAGCACATTGCTGCATACCTAATGACCGCTGCAAGATGTTTTTTCCTCCGCTCATGCTTTCATACAAATCCTCAGCCCAGTCTATGTGAAGACTTTCATCTTTGGAAACTGGAGAGCACGCTGGAGATCCCAGCTTGTGGTAACCTCCAATTACTCATAACACAAGCCAGGTCAATGTCTTCCACATATCAAGTTTTTGGGTTTTTTTGGTTTATATGTATATATTTAAAAAATACAGTAGCCTAAAAAATTATTATAAATGATATACTTGTAGAAGCCAAAAAGGCTTAACCTGTTGCTAACACTGGAGAACACTCTCTACAGTCAGCTGAAAGTGAGAAAATACGTTAGTCAAACCTTTTTGGCCTTTTCACAGAAAGTATATTTAAAATCATTTTTGACCAAATGTGATTACTGTTTATGTATAGAATATTTTCGAATTGCCGTAATGAAACAGTCCTCTATAGAGCGGATCCTTATTTTATCTTCTTTATCTTATCCTGCTGTTGGGGAGCACTGCTAGTTTTTACAGTCAAACTCTACTTTGGAGTTAGGTCCAACAGAACTCATTTCTTTCCCTCTCACTCCTGCACTTTTGAAAATAACTTCTAACCTATCCAGAAGATATTTTTGACATCTTGACACTCTTCACTCTTTGGCATTACTTTCAGCATTGTTTCATTTGTTCAGATATTATTTTGTTAGACCAGGTTAGACTTCAGTAGTAAACAGCCACTTTGGGGCTTGGGATGACAGAATGGAGAAAGGAGGAAAAAAAAAAAAAAAAACCTTTCTTCTAAAGACGTAATGTTAAAAATCTCTCTCTGGAAAAAAAAAAAAAATCAAAGATTTTCCCAAAAAATATTTTTCACAAATTTTAGTTGGTAAATCACCTACTGCCCAGGAATCATATATCTGAAAAGCAAATACGACCTTACAATTCATGAGCCTTTTATCTTGGTCATGTCTTGTGGATAATTTTATAGATTTAACAACTGAACCTTCCCATATCACGTCAAGCACACTGCATACACTGTAAAGAAAGAGGCTAAAACAATGAATCTTCGATTCTGTTCCAGCCTTTGTCACCTACTTGCTGGCAGGTTTCCTACATCGTGCTTCTCTGTAGGCTTATTTAGCTGCCCGGCATTACTGAGTTGTGCCACCACCGAAACAGAATTACTTAGTATAGGAAGTTAGGCGACTGTGAAAGTACCGATCAAAGTCTACATCTTCCTGCCTGTGGTATTTTCATTAAGGCCATAACATGAGGTAGGCATACTCAGTATCTGCTCTGAGAGTTTTTTTTTTTTTTTAATTGAAATATGCCTGCTAGGAAACTTAATTTGATGTGCATATCAAACTTTCTGTGATTACAATGACTGCAACATATTTGTACTATGAACAATTGTAAACTAAGAGCAAAGCTAAACTGTTGTGCCTAAGGTACAAAACTGGCTTAATCCAGGGAAGAACTCTCCAAGGATTGTACCACTTCCAATCAATCGGTTTCCAGCATCGACTGAAAAAATAAATGAAAGTGAAACAATTTCTCAAAGCAGTCCAATATGCAGGCCATAGCCTTTTTCTCTGTAATAACTAGACTGGTACATTTAGCTTCAAGACTGGTTCTCCCTCACCTAAGATTGCTTCATGAGTTGACTCTAACCCTACATATTAAAATTTTAGAACTACACATTAGAACTTAGCACGCCTCTACAGATCTATAGAAAATTGTTAGATAAATGATGAATATAAATAAAAAGGGCTCTTACAATTAAAAAAAAAAAGAAAAAATCGAGTGAGATATGAAAAATACAGTGACCATGAGTGTCTTTCCATGTGCGTACTTTTGGTATGTATTTACCAGAAAGGAAGTCTTCATATGAACACAGGTAACCATACAGACACATACAAATACATATTCACCTTAAATGAGACTCTTTTCCCTTCCTGAGTAAGCTTACATTCCCAAGCAATACGCTAAAGAATATCTAGCCATATTGCCGCTATAACAGTACTGCAAACAACGATGACCAGCACCTCACAGCTTCTAGGTAACACGTGGCTACAAGTTTTTTGGGGAGAGAATAAAATAGTATTTGGGCACAACGGACGTATCAACTGTCCTAGCTGCAGATCTAATCATGACTTTTGACAGCAATGACACAGGCCTCCAGATACTAGAAAATACTTGAAAGAATTCCCCAGTACAAGAGAGACATGGCACTACTGGAGACAGTCCAGCGGAGGGCTGCAAAGATGATGAGGGGACTGGAGCATCTCTCATGTGAAGAAAGGCTGAGAGAGCTGGGCCTGTTGAGCCTGGAGAAGAGAAGACTGACAGGGGATCTCATCAACGTGTACAAGTATCTGAAGGGGGAGGGGGGGGGTCAAGAGGATGAGGCCAGTCTCTTCTCCGTGGTGCCCAGCAACAGGACAGGAGGCAGCAGGCAGAAACTGAACCACAGGCAGTTCCATCTGAACCTGAGGAAAAACTTCTTCACTGTGAGGGTGACAGAGCACTGGACCAGGTTGCCCAGAGAGGTAGTATCTTCCCTGGAGATATTCAAAACCTGTCTGGATGTGATCCGGGGAAATATGCTCTAGAGGTCCCTGCTTGAGCAGGGAGGTTGGACTAGATGATCTCCAGAGGTCCCTTCCAACCTCAACGAGTCTGTGATTCTGTGATTCCAAAATTTCCAGAAGAAAGATTTCTACTTATGCGCCCAAACTATTCTTGAGTTACAGGGTATGCAATATTCTTGACTTCACTGATGCTGCATCAGGTATTAATCAGCAAAATTCCTGGTTCATTATCTTCAAAGTTAATTTCAGGGAGTTCTGTTCATTAAGCAGAGTTCATTCTCCCATTCTCTAAGCTGAAACTGAGCAATTAAAATAAAAACTAATCCCACACTGAGAGGTCACTGCCCACTTGCTCACAAGATAAACATATATTGTTATGAGTAGGGACAACTTGCATTCGGGGCTGAGGGAAGAAGAAAAAATATTTCTGAAGTGAAATCTATGGTATGCTTTGCTAGTTCTCCACTGATCTCTTCACCTACTTTTAAACCTACATAGTTGTTACTAGATACTGTTTTTGCTGACAGTGAGTTAAGTGAAAAAGTTACCATCCACAACTTGCCCCAACCGCTTGTTGCCATCTTCTTTTCCTGTATGTGCTGCCTCCTCAGAGCTGCTACCTTAACTACACACATAGCCACTCCTGGTGGCAACCAAAATGTTCACTGTCAGCTTCAGCTATTTTTCAAAATGCAGATTATTTGACAGAGCCAACTTAAGGAGAAGCTACAAATGTCATGCTGCTGTCAGAGAGGAGGCTGCAATAACCTCTGGCAGGAGGTGAAGAGCAGCTCAGGTAGGTTCGGAGCTGTAATCTTTCGACCAAGCTCAGCTGCAACCAATACAGCATTTCAGCTCACTGCCTTGAAGTTTTGCAAGACAGATGAGTGGAAGAATATCACAGACACAATAGTAAACACTACTAGAGACTGGCCGTGGCTCTAAAACAAAACTCTGCCGTAAATAAATAAAAAATGACACTGTGTTTTCCTATGCTATCTTCTATTAACATAATAGCCAAAAAATTAAACAATACTAAGCCAGAAGAATTCTCACACAGGTGGGTACATTTAACCAAACTTATACACATACATGAGAAGCTCTATTCTCAGAGTTGTCATATTCCTGCAAGGAAATAGTGGATTTGAAGCTCTTACTGAACCTAGCAGCATTTAAAATTTAATAAGCAACCCAGAAAGGGTGCTGTGACTACAGTCCCATATGCAGAGAGTCTGGAGAAGTTCCCCTTGGGACTGCTAATTCTTCCCCTCCCATGGCCATCTTACAGCTACCACAGCTGGCTCCAGGGCTTATGAGCTGGGTGCATCTCAACAGCTGTTGCCAAGCCCCATAGACCCAGTGGTAAAAATCAGGCAGTGGTTTAGCCCCTTTGGATGCCTATCTAACCAAGGCGGATCATTACATTCAAGTAAATGTGTTCTACACTGCGAGTTAAAGCTCGTTCTGCTGCAGTGAGTAAGGAAATCCTGAATTCACCTTGTTTCTTGAGCTCCAGACCAACGTTCTAGCCGGATGACTATCCTTCTCCTTTCAGCTTACTTCAAATAAAACTCATCTCTGCTCATTTCACAACACCTAGAAATGAAAAATAGGATTTTACTGCGATGGTACAGGAAATAAATTTAAATAAAAATTAATTCAGTCCCTTTTAAGTAAACTGGATAAGGAGGTGTTTATAGACCTGGTTCTTTACAGGAAGATCATAAATTTCAGAAGGGAGTATCAAAGGCATTTGCAAAATAATGTCACTGCAATGCTAATTCTGCATCTTTAATCCTTCAAATAAAAAAAAAAAAAAGACAGGTAGTCACTAATAAACATCACAGATATGCCATCTTTTCTTTCTCCACTGGCAGCAATCTAATAAATTCAAACATATGGCACAGAAAAGAAAGAAAAGGTAAGACTGAAGTATTTACTTTCATAATTTCTATCTGGATAGAACACACTCTAATTTGATTTCTAGGCTAGAAAAAAATCGGAATTGTTCTTTCCCATTGAAAAATATAAAAATAAATTATGGGCTTCTACAAGATAATGCATCAGCCAAAATGATCCAGTACTCTGGCCACTTCTAAGAAATGGAAACACCTGCTTATTTTGAAGTGGCTGGGCCAAGCTGGCTATTGAACTCGGTTATGATTCCATCAGGTGCCATCTAACACATTCACTAGTGCTTGGGAAAAGATGAAATAAAATATTCCATATAAAACATAATTATGGGCTTCTACAAGATAATGCATCAGCCAAAATGATCCAGTACTCTGGCCACTTCTAAGAAATGGAAACACCTGCTTATTTTGAAGTGGCTGGGCCAAGCTGGCTATTGAACTCGGTTATGATTCCATCAGGTGCCATCTAACACATTCACTAGTGCTTGGGAAAAGATGAAATAAAATATTCCATATAAAACATAAAAGGAAATAAACTCACTAAGCTGATGCTGAGCCTTTCCTTGGGTGAGAATACACCCCACAATCCAGAAAATTTAAAAACATTAAAACTTAATGATAGAATCAACTTAGAAAACTCATTTTAAAATACTTTTCTATTAAAAACACACTCTCCCATAGCTTGAAGCAGACAAACATAGAACATGGCACTATCCTTCCTGAAAAGGATCCCAAATAATGAAAAAGATGGTATCTCGGTTAAGGCAATGTCTACACTGTTTTCAGTATCTATCTGCAAGAAGCCTATTTTTCTCACAGTATTTAGCATCTGCTATGGGAAGATAATAAGAAGGTTGTTTGAGATTTCTACAAAGGCTGCATAATGCACTATACACGTAGCATTTGCTTGGTATTATCAAACGCAGCTGCCTTGGAAATTAGGAAACCTTTAAACAAATAGAGAAGTGAAGTAGCAGGCTCAGTCCTTGAGGGTGGTTGGTGCTTGCTGCAAGGTAGCCTAACCCACTGGGAAAAACACCACCGAGCAGCATTTGCTGCCAGACTAGGCTGTAAATTAACGTTCTCAACAGTAACAGCATGCAGCTGGAAGGGAAAAGAAATTCTAAACTCAAGAGAAATCAGGAGGAGGACTCTAAACTCTGCCTACCTAATTAAGAGGATTATCTTATAAATCAACGCAATTTTTGAAGCACATAAAGAAGCTTTTTTCTCAACATTATTTCCTAGACCTCTCTGTTGTCTATCTGAATCATTTCATTGCCTTGGGCTTTTATTTCTTTCTTTCAAAAAAGCACTTAACTTCATAATCAGTGCTGGAAAAAAAAAGGTATCCTCCAAAAGTGAGTCTCTTAACCTGTTTTAGGAACTTCAAGAGGACAGTTTCAACCATGCTCTCCCTCTATGCTAACAGCTAATAGTCAGTATCTAACTCTCCAATCTGGTACCTCGGATTACGGAAGTTAGGAGAGGACATTCATATACAGCGTCATTGGAAACAAGCGCAACTCATACTACGTTGTCACAGCAGGTACTTTCTGCTTTCCGATGTTACAAATAATTGAAGGGCCAAAAACTATTTTGATTATTTTTCCCACCAATCACCTCACAATTTTATTGCCCAATTTATTCACATTTCATTCAGGATTATTCTTGTCCTACTTCTCTTTATACCTCATCATTTCTGCTTCAGAACAATTTTTTTTTTTAAATATGAACCAAATTTCATATTTTAACTTCTTGAAACTATTTTTCCTACAAAGGAAAAGATGTCAAAGATGACAAAAAAGGATACCTCGTGAACACAATACTTTCCCGTGGCCAGACTATTAGATGAGCATATTGATAAAGATCTAGAATAACTACATTTGATATGTGTGATACGACTACATAACTCCAGTAAACTCACTATAGGTGTGGAGATCATTTAGCCTAAACTCCTCCTCAAAGAAGAGTTAGCTTCAAAGTCAGACTGGGTTGCTCAGGGCCTTGTCCGCTTGAGTTGTGAAAACCTTCAAGGTTTGAAGGTACCTCTCTGGGCAAGCTGCTTCAGCGCTTAACCCTGCTCATCGTGAAACCGCCTCCCGTTACGCAGTGGGAATTTCTCTTATTGCCACTAGTGACCACTGTCCCCTGTCCTCTTGCTGTGCACCTCCGAGACGAGTCTGGCTCTGCTCTCTCTGTACCTCCCGTGCCGGTAGCGCCAGGCGGCAGGTATTTCCCCGCGTAGCCTCCTCTCTCTTCTCCAGGTAAACCCACCCTGGCTCCCTCGGCCTCTCTTCCTACCTCAGGTCCTCCAGTGCCTCAGGTGCCTCCCACCAAACTCCTTCCGGTCTCTTGAAGGGCTGCAAATTGGACAGTAGCCCTGATACAGCCTCACGAGCTCAAAAAGAAGTGCAAAATCACCTCACTTGAGCTACTGCCTATACTTTTGCTAAAGCCGCACTGGATAATGGCAAGCCAGGTGCAGGACTTTTAATGAGCTGTACGTTTAAAGATAGATAGTCCTGCTCTAAGAAACTTAAACCTTAAATAGATGAGACAAGTACAGGAGACAGGATGAAAAATACCTGTTCAAGAAAGGTAAGTTATTAAAAAAAACAGACTGATGAAGAGAGGACAGTTAGAAGTTAGTTTTGAACAGGACCTTGAAGGAGCACGAAGACAAATAGGGATTCAGGAACCCCTGTTTGAGGCGTGGGAGGCAGGTAATTGAACGGCACAACAGAGTTAGAGGACTGTGCGGCCACAAGGAGTAAGAACAGAAGACAGACGGAAAGCAAAATAAGATTACGTACAACCTTAGGCATGCAGCTCACCTCTTCATTCATTTATTTATTTTTTCACCTCCGAGATTTCAATTAGGCAACATCAAAGTTACTACAAGCCATTTTCTGTATAAAAAGGTTTTCAAAAGGAAGAGTAGTACTGCACTTTGTCTGAGCTACCTGACAAAGAAGAGTTCAATAATCCTCCACTGCACTTGAGCAGCGACGCGGGAGAAGTATAACCTTAAAATATAAGTAATGGGAAGAAATAGGTATGTGCCTGAAAGGTAATCTCAAATTCCTCATGCTAGACTTTCAAAGACAAACTTTAAACAAAATGCAGGTGGTTGAAAATACCTGTTCCTTTTGCTTGTGAGAAAAATGAATCTCTCACGCCTTTAGGCAGTAGAGAATTACGTGCTCTTTTGAACTGAAAAAGTGCAAACTGTAGAGGATCAGACTGAATAAATGCTAAGATGCCAGTCTCACAAGGCCTTTGGGAACCTACACAATAACAATATTTTTGAGATGTCTCACATAGGAATGGTGCATTTGTTATAGTTATTTACACCTCACAGTGTAAGCTAATAGAAACAAAAGGATGTGTTTATGCATTAAGGAACAAACATGGACACAAAGCAAGTATGTGCATGGGAAAATAAAACAGGTTTGAACAGTCCAGTCACTTTAACGTTAGCTGAAAAGGCAAAAAAGACAGATCAAGTAATATTTTCAAGCGGACCATACAATGAAAAAGATTAATGTTTTCTACCTAGCATCTTTCAGTTGTTGAAAAATTAGTCTAATTTCTAGGGATCTTTCCCTCAACTTATGCATAGACTTGAAATGTAAGATTCACTTATTCCTCATAGCAAGAAAAAACCTCCTTATCAGGTAAAGGCAGAGGCAAGCAACTGTATGGAAGAACAGTTTGCTAAATCTGTAAAGACAGTTCCAGCACTACCGTTATGGCTGTTTCAGACGTGATGAAGGTAATACCCAACATTCAAAAATGAGATTTATACATCTGAAGAATACTTCTTGTGTAAACCCTGGCGTCAATCCTACTGCCAAGATCCATGCTTCCTGAATACAGGAATTATTCAGAGCAGGCTGAAGTGGACAGGCAGAGCAGGCTGTACCTGTGCGGAAGCCTCTTGGTCAGAACGAAGGAAAGGATAACACCAACAGACCCCTCTCTATCGCAAAAGTTCCTGCCATGCTGTTAGGCAGGAGTGCCAAAAGAAAATACAGACGTTTGGTCTAAGCTGAGGCTCTCAAAAGATCTCAAGGTTGGGATCTGAGTTGATGTGTGACTGTATTTTGCCTAGGGGGAGCCAAAACTAAGCATATGTTACATATAATTTTCAAGGTCTAGTATATTACCTATAATACCCCCAAAATAAGCACTGATTATTGCTGGGTCTAAGCCTGTAATCCTCTTTGGGAATACAATACCCACTGCATAAATAGCTTCTTGAATCAAAAAAAAAAAAAAAAAAGGAAAGCTTGTAGTAATATTCACTGATAAAACATGCACAGAAGGTCAACATAAGAATACATACCCTTCAAGCTCTGAATTAAGTTCCATGCTTTTCTCATTCAAACTTAAAAAAAAAAAAAATCAAAACTGAAATCACTCTCTCGTGTGGCAAGCCTGTAGAAATGCATATTATTGCTAAAAGAAGATAAGGAGGCACAAAAAGCTGACTCTAATGGTCATCTTTACTACAATATCCTGGTACAGTACCATAAAAGGAACAAAAAACTGTTTTAGTCCTGCCCTTTTTTATTGTAGCCTACCCAAAAAAGTTTCAATTCATTTCTTGAATGACACATTTGTACTGCTTTATTGAATTCTTTATTTTGCATCTTCCTTCCTTCCTGTTTTTCTTTT